GAGTTTGCAGTATATATTTTTACCTAATCTAAGTCTACTTTCTCATAACAATATACAATTTCCCAATTAGTGCAGATACCCAATTATACCTTTTCTCTTCCTCTGCCTAAATCTATTTCACTTCCTATAAGTTATTATAATTGCTATTATTATTTGGAACACTTTACAAACTAAAATAAGAAAAATATTTTAAAATTTTATATTCATTTATTCCTTCTCTAGCATGGTTTGTTTATTTATGTAGATTTGAATATCTGACCTATAATATATTAGTCAAATTTGCATCACTATAACCAAAATATCTGACAAGAACAACTTAGGAGGAAAGATTTATTTTGGCTCGTGGTTTCAGAGGATTCAATCCATAGTTGGTTGGCTCCAAGGAGGAAACATCGTGGTGGAGGAAAGCTGCTCAGTTCTTGGCAGGTAGGAAGCAAAGAGAGAAGGAAAGTGGGGAGCCTGAGAGAAGATAAACTCTTCTAGGGCATGCCCACAGGGACCTCTTTCCTCCAGTAGATCCCACCTTCTTGTCCATTCAGTCCTCATGATCTAATCACTGCCTAAAAGCCCCACCTTGCTGCACTGGGGACCATGCTTTCAACACAGGAGCTTTTGGGCGACATTCCAGATCCAAACCACAATACCTAATATTATTTTCCTTTCTGAAGAACTTAACATTTCTTGCAAGGTAGATTGGCTGTTGATGTGGTGCAAGGTGTGGGAGAATTGAAGGCATTTTATAAACTCAGAATAAGAGCTTATCTCTTACTTAGTCTATGACCCTAGGATGTGATGTTTACCAGTGTTTATCAACTCCCTCTCCCCCATTTAGGTGAGATGAGAAGGCTAGAGATGGTTAGAGTTAGTTAATTCCCTTATCTCGTGTTGATTAGGCTCTGGCAAGGTAATTTCCCCTTTGCCTACTGGAAACCAGACTGGCTCTGATCTTCACTTTGAGAGCCTGGTGGGGCTCCTGGATATAAACTCTGTCCCAGTAAGCTGTTATTCTCTGTATTCATTTGTTTTCCCCTAGTTGTTAGATGTTGGTTTGTCTGTAATCTTAATTCTCTGATGGATCCAGGAAATACAGTTTTTCTTTTCTTGTGAAAGCAGGAATGAGGAACTTTAAGCTCTTTTATCAACAGTGGAAACCTCAATTTACTTCTTTTTAAAATTTATTTTTTATTTGTTCTTTTTAGACAGTAGACTATATTTTGACATATTTATACAAACATGGAATGTATCTTTTTAAAAAATTTGTTACATATGACAGCAGAATGCATTACAATTCATATTATACCTATAGAGCACAATTTTTCATATCTCTGGTTGTACACAAAGTAGAGTCACACCATTTATGACTTCATACACATGTACTTAGGGTGATGATGTCTATCTCATTCCACTATCAATTATGGGCTGGGGTTGTGGCTCAGCAGTAGAGCGCTCGCCTAGGGTGTGTGAGGCCCTGGGTTCAATCTTCAGCACCACGTTAAAAAAAAAAAAGTAAATAGAATAAAGATATTGTTTCCAATATCTGTATTCTCTGACCATAATGAATGGTTTATTAGGCAAAAGAGAAATCACAATAGAAATTAGACAATATATGGGAATAAGTAATAGTAAAAATATATCTAAACTAATTAAGGTAGTTAAAATGCTTATTACTTGTCTTCCTTAGCTAGCATGTAAACTTCACAAAGACAGACATATTATGCTTTATTAAGATGTATCCCAAGCACCTAGGTACGGATGTCTAGTTAGGCATCCATTAAATATTTGTAAATAAATTAATGAATGCAAATTAGAAATTTAAAGCATTAAACATCATTTTAAGAAAACTGAAAAATAAGTTCAGTAGCAAATCTTAATAACTTAAAAATGGAAGATATGAACAGAAATTAATTAAAATCAAAACCAAAAAGCTAAAAAGGCCTAAAGAAATAATCTCCCAGTAGAAATGAGCACATCTAGTGCTAGAAATGTGGTTTCTAAATACCATTTCCAATAAAATGAAGGAGAGCTACTTGGAGAAATGGCTGATTCCATGTTGGGCAAGAAAAATATACACATAAAATACATGAAATACATAGTGATAGTAATGTACTTTAACCCATAGAAAAATAAATATCCATTAACCTCAATGATGTAAATAACTGACCAAATGAATAGGACAGATAAAACAGTTCTACCCTGCAGTTGAAATTCAATTAATGAATGTAGGAGTAATGATAAAAATAGAAATCACTTTGGGTACACACCACAATAATAACTGTGGCAAGCAAAAGTCATTAATGGATGCTAAAACAAATAATACTTTCAGCTATAATTTTCAGCTATGTACATGACTCAATTGAAGTGAAGACAAACAGACATCTAGGATTGACTTTGTCAGTGTTCAAGCAATGACAGCTATGTTATAACTGCTGTGTGGTCAACACCAACTATATAGTCTCATCAGTTATCAGAGGTATTCATGCATCAGAGGTGTTAAAGTGTGCAAAAATGTGTGACTAAAGATAGACTTACCCAGGTATTATCATTATGTGTTTTTGATAAATTTCTCTCTATTTCAATTTTTAACCCTTAATTTTCTGTTTACTAAGTTGTCTAGGTATACTTTTTTCTCTACCGGTTTTGAAGTTTTGACCTTTATTTCTGTTATTTTAATGGTTACCCTTCAAAATTCAGTGTACTTGCTGGCATTAACCATGAATCTAATCAGTATCTCTGCTTTTCTGGATAATAAAAGGATATTATGGGACTTTGATACCTTTCTTCCTACATTGTACATTGTTTTTGTCAATGTTTCCAGTCTGCTTTATCTGAAGTTGCAGTTTTTCATTGGTATGCAAGTAGCTGACTAATGTCCGATTTCTCCCCTAGACTGCAAAAGTAGATGTCATGATTGTTGTTGTCATTATTTAATTTTACTAGCTTGAATGGGGCTTGGCTTATAGTAGAAAATAAATATTCCCTTAATTAACTGACTGATTATTCTCATGTAAAGAGCGTTCCCTGGTAACTGGAACAACCTGTTTGTTCATATGAAATATACATCTCTGTAAACATTTTAGTCAATTTATCTTAGATTGAGGCTTCCAGTATACCCTGGAAGTTTATTAAGGCTGTGTGCAGCCATCAAATAACGGGTATGGGGATGTTTCAGATATGTGTTAACACATAGTCATGTTCATGTGAAATAATATGAAAAGAAGATTTCGTTTATAAAGTGATGGGAATGTACTGATTGAAATCAGCCAGAAGTATGACCTTGGACTGGTCTGATATCTTCTTTTCCAGTGGTGACATGATAAGTTATTTATCTAGCTGAAATCCCCATTTTCCTTTCATACTTTTCTGTTGGACATCAAGATTTATTTGCTGCTGTGGTCACTTGCTTTTAGAAAAAAGGCTGGAGGTTTCTACCACTCTCCTCAAGAAGCAGAGGCATTTGTCTGGAGTGGATACTGTTCTAAGTGGACAAGAGCTGGGAAAGGGCCATTTCTTCTAGGCTTGGGCACCACACCAGTAGAAAAATTCATCATGGAGTGGGACAAAAAGGTTTTCTCAGCCCTTTTCCATAAAGCATCAGGCCTTCTCCCCTCCATTTGCTTTCTTCAGTTTTCTTTTTACATCTGTATAATCCCCTCTTTCAGCTGTTCCCTTAGAACTACTGAACAGGTGAAAATGAAATACCATTACATGAATGAAGATGAGAAGGGAATCTTAACTGATATAAATAAGTTTAGTTTCTTTTTACTATAAAGAAGCTTAGGCTTACAGTTTATATTTAATATCATCTATTACAGTATTGATAACATCAAAACCTTTGGAGGATGGGTAAGAAAACTGAGCATGAGTTCACTGGACTATAATGTACAATTTATATTTTATAAAAATTCTTATTTTTTTGTTTAACATGAGCATTACTAGTTGACAAAATTGTTGATAGATTTAGAAGGAAAAGAAAGAAAAATATTAGTAGGGAACACAGAATTTTAATAAACACACTGAAACTATAGCTTACAGAATGTTATCTAAGTACTGAGTTTCAATACTAGGTCACCTTTTTTTCTTTCTCTTTCTTTAGAACATTATCATAACTAACACTTGACGTGGTGCCTAGCATATTTTGGCTTCGCAGTAAATATTAACTCATTGATATATGAAGGGATAAATGGATGAAGGGTGGATAAAAGAATGGAAGACAAAATGACTTCTACAATACAAATAAATATACATATAAAATTATAGAGATTTGAAAGCATAATGATCTTTTAATCATGTAGATAATATAGAGGAAAGGATTGATCTATTTGAACACTAGATTTTTCAAAAATAGAAAATACTTTCTGAAATTACAAGTGGAAAAGAATAAAATGAAGACAAATTGAAATAGAAATAAACTTATATTAGATGATACATATTCTTAAATGTGGGAATGCTTTGGTTGCTGAGTCAGAAGCTGATTTTAAAAGACTTTATTCTCATTTTAACCTGATCTATTCTAGGATTTTGTCAGGTTGAAATTTTTTCAAATATCTATTTAAAATGAATCAATTCATTTCTGAATTATCATCGTTTCTCATTTAGTGAAATTGAACCAATCAATGGATTTCACTACATATCATCTATTGAGTTTAATGCTATACATCTAGAAAACATTTCCCCTTATATTTTAGATCTATGTGACTAATGTCATCTTTTTTCCCCATGCTTTAGTATTGTGAATATTAAGAAGTGTGGGTTCTGGTGTCAAGACAGATTTAAATTTCAGTCTCCAATCTGCTCCTCCTTAGTGAGAAAGTTGTTCAACTTCTCAAACCTTCGTAGCACCCTGTGTAAGGCAAAGGTGATACCTAGCACTACCATAGGAGGTTGTTGGGAGGATACAATAAACTAGTATATGTAAGTACATAACACAGTCTATGGGCTATGTTAGATATTCTGTCACTGGCAACAACAATCATTCATTCATTTATTTATTTTTTCTGCAGCTTTCCCCACAAACAAACCAGACAGAGATGCAAAACATGTTATAAAAGTGGTAAGTATTGCTCTTAAATTTGTGTTTTACACATATTTGACATTTTTCCTCTTTGCTTTATTTTTGTAAAAGTTTCTCATCTTAATTTTTCTTACAATTTACATATCAATAACCTAATGTTATATTTTCACATTATTAACATGCTACTATTGAAGAACCATTGTTATGGAAGACCATCCATCATCCATCATTCTGATGGATGGTATTCTCCAGCAATCTGTCCTCCCTCTTTTTTCCCCTCCTCTGGACATAAGGTCCTTAAAGGCAGGCATAAAGTTTCATTTCTGTATGTGTGCCCCATGCCTACTACAATGAATATAGCCCAGTAGACATTTGGTAAAGGTGTCATGTATGAGTGAACCAGCAGGGTAGTTTCCAGCTGTCCGCTCTGATGTACGTGTAGTTACTCAGTGTGTATGTTATATTTATGTATGCAGCTCTCAGTGCTTTTAGTAAGTGCTTTCCATAAGGCTACTTTCATGTGTAAGACTATATTGGGATAGAAGTACAATATGTTGTTTAAAAATGAGATTCTTCAAGTTTATTTAGTGTTTTCTGAGATTTTTAGTGGAAATCTGGTGCCTGAGTTTTAGAAAAAATGATTCAGGTACTATAATGTATTACATATGTGTACTTACATTTTCACAATTGAAATATCAATTCTATCTCTAGGATAATTTTTCCTAGTAAAATTAATGTTTCTTTTCTTTCATAGGAATATCAAGAAAATGGCCCGTTATTTTCAGAACTTAAATTTTATCAGAGAGCTGCAAAAAAAGACTGTAGTAAGTAAAATTAGCCAAGCAAGCTACTTCCATATATGTACTTGCTAAAGTGAGTGTTAATATTTTGGTCTTTTTCTGGCCTTCTGGAAAATTCTTTTCTGTAAGAAATTTTATTGTAAAGTGATACAGTTAACTGTTATAACATATAAAAGCAAGACAGATGGTATACAAATCTTGATATGGCATACATAATGGGTTATATATTTTAAGTCTAAATTGTTTCTACTACTTAACATAAAATGTTGAGTTGTTGATCAAAGCTACCAAGAGTTCTCTAAGTATAAAAGATAGTAAAATGAAATTATTTTTTTATGAAGAACAATTTGGATAGGAAGGATATACAGAAAAGACATTAAAATAGGCAGTAGACATATATACAAAAGGATTGGTTGTAAAATGGATTAGAATAGGTGTCTGGAAATGATTAAATGTTAAGAAAATATTTGAAACTTCAATGTTGGGAAATTAATTGGAGTTGTATATCATATGCCAGTTAAAGAATTTCAATGTAAAATGAGAATGAGTAGAGAAGAAGGATAAAGCATTTTTAAAACAATATATATCATAGTTAGGCTAAGTAAAACATTAAGGAATTTGATAGGGATAATCACTAGTATGGCTAAAGTTCTTTGCCTTATGCTTAAATAAAGGAATGATATGTCTGGCCTAAATAATTAACTTTGTTTTCCTTAAAAAGCCTGTTAAACATTAAGATTGTAGTCCTTACTAACTGCTTAAACTCTGTCAGAGTGACAAATAAAATTCATTAAACTTGATTGTTTATGGGTAGAGCTGTCTTAAACATGAAACACATATGGTAGAAAAGTGAAAACATGATTAAGCCACCTGATTCTTTAAATCAATTTGATTTTTTTTGTAAACTAAGTTTAATAGAAAATTTTCTATATTATAGTTTCAGAATAAGATGATTTTTCTGTCCAATTCTTATTGCTTGGAATATCATGGTTTTAGATTTTAAAATACAAGCAATAAGGAGGAAAAAAAAAAAAAAGCCATGTCAGTACTGAGCCTTTGGAAGTTAACAGGTATAATGTTTAGAAATTTAGTACATAAGAAAATGATTTTTTCATAAATAGAAATGTTTGTGAATATAATACCAATGTATTTTGAAGACTATAAGTTCTTACTATTGATTTAATGTCTATATTTTTTGTATTACACTGATAACATTTTGAACTCATTAGACAGGTATATTTATTTTAAAATTTTTATTTTAAAATAAAAATACTATTTTTGTTAGCTCTGTGAGTCTTAGCATGTACACAAAGATTGAAAATATAATGTGAATAATTTTTCTTGTTAAATTTGTCTTTGCAGTCAAAAAGTGGATAGAACTCAAACAGCTTGATTATTTAGGAATTCCTTTGTTTTATGGAACTGGTCTGACTGAATTCCAGGGGAGAAGGTAAAAGGAAGTTAAAATATTATTATAATCTTTTATACAAGACCAGAGTACTACTTATTCTAATTAGGATCCTAGTCTTGTGATTGTATATGATATGGAGATTCACTGTTGTACATTCATATATGTATATAGGAAAGTTAAGTCAGATTGATTCTACTGTCTTTCCTATTTCTGTCACCTCTCCCTTCCCTTCATTCCCTTTGTCTAATGTACTACTGTTCTTCTCCTTCCTACCTTGTTGTGTGTTAGCATCCACATATCAAAGAGAACATTTGACCTTTGGATTTGGGGGATTGGCTTATTTCACTTGTCTGTAGATCCATCCATTTACTGGTAAAAGTCATAACGCCATTCTTTTTTTACGACTGAGTAATACTCCATTGTATATATATATAGAAACACACTTTATTTATCCATTCATCTGTTGAAGGGCACCTAGGTTGGTTCCATAGTTTAAGCTATTGTGAATTGAGCTGCTATAAACATTTATGTGGCTGGGTCACTGTAGTATGTTGATTTTTAAGTCCTTCAGGTACAAACTGAGGAGTGGGATAACTGGATCAAATGGTGGTTCCATTCCAGGTTTTCAGAGGAATCTCCCTACTGCTTTCCATAGTGGTTGTAAGAATTCACAGTCCCACCAGCAATGTGTGAATGTACCTTTTCTCCCCACATCCTCACCAATCTTTATTGTTACTTGTATTCTTGATAATTGCCATTCTGACTAGAGTGAGATGAAATCTCAGTGTGGTTTTAATTTGCGTTTCTCTAATTGCTAGAGATGTGGAATATTTTTTCATATATTTGTTGATCAGTTTTGTTTCTTCTGTGAAGTGCCTATTCAGTTCCTTTGTCCATTTATTAATTGGGTTATTAAATAACTATTCTTTATGGTATTTACTAGTTATCTGTTGCTGTGTAGCAAAACATAGTTTCTTATAGTAATAAACTTACAATATATTTGTTTCTGTGGGTCAGGAATCTGCAAGTGACTTATCTGAAGGAACTCTCAGGGACTCGCTTGAGAATATAATATAGTCAGCTCTCCGCCAGGCTGCAGTTATATCAAGCATGGATTGAGGAAGTGTCTGCTTCCAAGGTCACTCAAATGCCTTTGGCAGATCCAAGAAGACCTGCTCTTAACTTTAGTCATGTGATTGTTTGCAGGCCTTGCTTCCTGACTTTGTAGATTTCTGCATAAGCTATGTGGGTGTTAAAAAGAAATGGCAGTTGGTTTCCCCTAGAGCAAGTGATTAAAAGGGAAAGAGACCATATGCAAGAGAGTGCATCTACACTGAAATTATGGTCTTTCTATAATCTAACCCTAGAAATGATAGCCTGTTACAGCAGCTGTATTGCCTTTGCTTAAAACAAGTCACCTAGGTTCAAATGATATGAGAGGAGATTCAGTCTCCATCTCTTTAAGAGAGTACAACAAAGAATTTCTAGAAATATCTTTAAAGCCACTCAATATGAAAGTCATCATATATAAATAATTCGTTAATAGAAAAAAAGTAAAGCAATGTCATTTGTTATATATTCATTTCATGCCCAGAATTTCATATATCTCATTTTGTCCTTTGAGTAGCCTTTTTAAATAGGTGATATTATTTTTGTTTCACAGATGAGAAAATAGGAACAGATGTCAGCACTTTGTTCAGATTATCTTTAAACATTATAAATAAAAACAAAATGAGGGATTGAGGTTGTGGCTCAGTGGTAGAGAGCTGCCTATCATGTGTGAGGCACTGGGTTCAATTCTCAGCACCACATATAAATTAATAAGTAAATAAGGTCCATCAACACCTAAAAAATATTTTTTAAAAAATGAGAAACAAATGATCATGAAACTAAGTGAAAGACTGCCAATAGGGGACTGAATGGCTTTGTGAAGCATGATACATTCATATTGTGCAATATGCATCCTGTTGAAGAAGTCAGAGCTATACCAGTTGACTTGGAAGGATGTATATGAGATACTGTTTAAATAATTAGTGTAGAGAAAGTTCATGTGATAAGATCACATTTTTATAAAACACAAATCCAAAATGTTCTTCCTGTATGTGTATGTATGCATAGATAGGTGCAGAATGGGGCTAATGTGGGTATGTACACAAAAGGAAGATAAGGGGTGGAATATGCTGAACAGAAAAGAAAACATACAACTGCACTTTAAAAAAAGACATGTTTATGAATATATGGGGAAGCAAATATGATTTTTATAAGGTCAACAAACAAATATAGATAACATTTTATGTATGCACCCATAATTTGTTCAGGGCTATATGGCAAGAAGTTGATGGAATTAAAATGAATTAAACTTAGGACTATCTAATTTAAAAAGACCATTCCCTTTTCATTATCTAAAGGAATATGAATGATTCAGTACAGCATTCTCTTTGACTACAAAACTAACAGCAAAGAAAGTACTGAGAAGTATCTTTTTGCAAAAGACTAACAGGATTGTTAATGTGCATTTATTCTCTAAGGTGCAGATTGCATCATTTTTGGTTCTTAGGTTGGAGGTATTTTTCCTTGTTTCACATTTATTAATAGAGAGCTTCAAGCATTATAATCTCGTGGAGATCTCTTTCTGATGTCTCTTTCTTATAGTTACAGATTTATGGTAATGGAAAGACTAGGAATAGATTTACAGAAGATCTCAGACCAGAACGGTACTTTTAAAAAGTCAACTGTCCTGCACCTGGGTATCAGAATGGTAAGAAAGAATGACTTGTTACAAATACAAATCTTTGCCCTTTGTGGAATTATCAGAAAATGAAGGATTATTGCCCTAGAAATGTCAATTATTGAGAGTAGAGGCTATTTTGGTGAAATTGATAACAATGGGCTCTGTAAATGACAGAATGTGTGCTGTTTGGTCCTGCAAACACAATTAGGTATTGGTGCTATAGTCTTTTTCTCCTTGTAGTTTTGTTTTACATATCAGTACAAGTTTACATTACTTTAAGAATAACCTCTCATTTGTCAGTTGTATTTATAACAATGCAAACTATGGCCAAATATATTATTTTGCATCCTAAATATGATAATATGGGAGGGTGCGTTAAAGTTTTTAGTATGAGTTGGGGATGGTGGCAATAATTAGTTGTGGTGATGAATTATACGCACACACACACATATATATATATATATATATTTTTTTTTTTGCTAAATAAGGAGCAATGAAATCTTTGTAGCACACATGCATACCCTTGTTTATACCATATATTTGTTTTATCTTGTTTGTATTTGGCTTGTTCAAGTCTCATTCTATTTTTTTCATTCATTTATTTGTTTGTTTATACTGAAGATTAAACAGGAGTACTCTACCAATGAGCTGTACCCAAGCCCTTATGTATTATTTTGAGACAGGGTTTTACCAAGTTGCCCAGACTGGTCTCAAACTTGTGATCATCCTGCTTCAACCTCCTAAATAGATGGGATTACAGGTGCGCACCAGTACACCAAGCTATTTTTTCCATTTTACATAGAATGAAATTACTCATGCCAAAATTGGATGTAACAGATAGAACTCACGAATTTCCTGCTAAACCAGTAAATGTTTATCGAGCATTAGGTTCTGTAACATGGAAGGGCAAAGGGCTTTAAAGATGAAGCTCGGAAATTTTCTATTACTACATAGAGGATGAATACTTATGGGCATGATATTTTGTTTTGACTTCCCCAAGGTTTACTTATATAATTACTGCTTGGGTGAGAAATTACTGAGTGGTCTTCATCATTATTTCACTGTAGATCTCTGATTTTATGCTGTTTTTCCTATTAGTACAGTGCCATTTAGCCATTGGGCTCACTAGAGCAAAACCATTGCTGAATTCTGTTTTGTTTTGTTTTGTTTTTTCATCAGAGGTTCAGTTAAAACATTTGCTACTTGAGGATCATGTTGTTGAATTTTTTTACCTAATGAGCAATCAGAAATTATGATATTTTAGGATAATTAACCAATAATTTTGAAGTATATCACTTTGTCATCATTAATATAAAATGTTAATCTGTATTTAAAGTGTCCAAGTTGATCAGGAGTTCTAAATAACTGTATGACCTTATGTTATCTGTTTCTTTCACAGCTGGATGTACTGGAATATATACATGAAAATGAATATGTTCATGGTGATATAAAAGCAGCCAATCTACTTTTGGGTTATAAAAATCCACATCAGGTAAATAAAGTGTTAAGCCTTTGCTTTTAGTAAGTATACTGTATTGAGACTATAAAAACAAACTCAACCCACTAGAGTTTACAAATGAAGGCCTAAAATGATGAATGTTTTAATTTATCTTACCTTGCTTATCTAATTTAATCCTTGCACCAAACTAATGAGTAATTAGGATAAGGAAACTGAGAGTCAGAGGGGTTAAATCATTTATTAATGGGCACATAGTTAAGAAGTGGCTAAGCAGAAATCTGAATTTCTAAATAAATATAAACAAAGGACTATCAAATTCCAGTGAGAGCTGGGTGCAGTTCCTGTAATCCCAGCTACTCAAGAGGCTCTAATAGGAAAATCTCAAGTTTAAGGCCAACCTTAGCAATTTAATGAGACCCTATCTTCAAAAGGGCTGGAAATGTAGCTCAATGGTAGAGTACTTATGTAGTATGCACAAGGCTCTGAGTTCAATCCATAGTACTGTTGGGGAAACCACCAGTAAAAGGTTTTCTTCTCTTATTGTATAATCAGTTAAGTTTTAAATAGAGGCCGGGTGTGATGGCACATGCCTGTAATCCCAGAAGCTCGAGAGGCTGAGACAGGAGGATCACCGGTTCAAAGCCAGCCTCAGCAATGTCGAGGCGCTAAGCAACTCAGTGAGACCCTGTCTCTAAATAAAATACAAAATAGGGCTGGGGATGTGGCTCAGTGGTTGAGTGCCCCTGAGTTCAATCCCTGGTACTCCCCCACCTACAAAAAAAAAAAAAAAAAAAAAAGAAAGAAAAAGGAAAAGTTTTAAATAGAGAAGGTTTTCTGTTAAAACTTTCATTTATAATGGAACTGTGCTGTGTTTCTCCAATATGGTCACCATTAAGAACTGTGGCTGTTAAGTTCTTGAAATGTGGCTAGTACAATTTCCATCTGCTGGCAAGTGTGTGGAGCAAAAGATACTCTCTTTTATTTCCGATGATAATGCAAAATGGTGTAGCCTCTGCATTTTTACTGTTTGTTAGGAAATGAAAACTCCAGCCATACCATCTAGTAATTATGCTTCTCTATATTTACTTAAAGGAATTGAAAACATTTGTCCACACAAAAAACCTGCACACAGATGCTTATAATAGTTTTATTCATACTGGTTGATACTTGGAAGCATCCAAGTATTCAGAGGACTGGATACACCCAGACAATGGAACATTATTTAGTGCTAAAAAGACACTATCAAGGTTTGAAAATTTAAGTGCACATTAATACGTAAAAAACAGTAAGTCTGAAATGGCTGTATACTGAATACTTAAATTATTTGATGTTCTGAAAAAAGGTATAACTATGAAGACAGTAAAGGATCAGTGGTTGAAGTGAAGGAAGGATAAACAGGCAAAAAAAACAGTTAGTTTTTAGCTCAGTGAAACTCTACTGTAGACCACAGTGGTAGATGCATGTCAGTATTTCTTTATGAAGGCCCATAGAGTGTAAGCCAAGAGTGAACCTGTGTAAACTGTGGACTTGAGGTGATAAAGATATGTTAGTGTAGGTATATCCATTGTAACAAACACACCATTCTGGTGAGGGATATTGATGGTGGGAAGGCTCTGTCTACAATCTAGAGGTATGTGGGAACTCACTGTACTTTGCACTCAGTTTTACTTTAATTGCTCAAAATTTACATAAATTGAATCAAGAACTTCTCTAAAGTTTATTTTACAAATGTGGCCTATTTGACTAAACTAAAATTTGAATTTAACTTAATTTTAAATGATTTAAATGGTTACATGTAACTAATATCCATTGTATCAGCTCAGGTTTAAAGAGTTAATTATTATGTCTGTAAAAATTTAGAGGAAAAAAATCCATATTTAATTGACCTTTGCATGGGGGAAAAAGTAAATAAGAAACTTGGAAATATACATATGACAAATATTGAGAATATCTAGCACACACTAAAAACGTTCAGGGGTGGATGCCATGGCACATGCCTGTAATTCCAGCAACTTGGGAGGCTGAGGCTGGAGGATCAAGAGTTCAAAGCTAGCCTCAGCAAAAGAGAGGCACTAAGCAACTCAGTGAGACCCTGTCTATAAATAAAGTGCAGAATAGACCTGGAGATGTGGCTCAGTGATCAAGTGTCCTAGAGTTCAATCCCCAGTACCCTCCCCCAAACAAGTTAATAAGAAGGACACCAAATAGTTTCATAAAGCAATGATCAAAAGGAATGAACAGATAGAACACAGTGAAAAAAAGTCATCTTTACTATAAGTAAAAGATAGGAGACCTGAGCAGTAAGGCAACATTTTTAAAGGTTTTATACAAGGGAGAAGTCTGAAATAATAATATTCTGATAACATTGAGGCTTGGGAGGGTGCAGGCTCTTGTAGAATGCTGGGGGTGAATGTAAATTTAATGGTAATAGATGAATAAATTAAGTTAATGGAAGGACAGTTTGGCAATCTATATTAGAAGCCTTTAAAAAGTCAGCATAACGATCTACATTCGGTGGGGTCGGGCTCCAAATTCCTCAATAGGACACCCATAGCACAAAAGTTAATAACTAGGATCAACAAATGGGACTTACTCAAACTAAAAAGTTTTTTCTCAGCAAAAGAAACAATAAGAGAGGTAAATAGGGAGCCTTCACCCTGGGAACAAATCTTTACTCCTCACACTTCAGATAGAGCCCTAATATCCAGAGTATACAAATAACTCAAAAAATTAGACAATAAGAGAACAAACAACCCAATCAATAAATGGGCCAAGGACCTGAACAGACACTTCTCAGAGGAGGACATACAGTCAATCAACAAGTACATGAAAAAATGCTCACCATCTCTAGCAGTCAGAGAAATGCAAATCAAAACCACCCTAAGATACCATCTCACTCCAGTAAGATTGGCAGCCATTATGAAGTCAAACAACAAGTGCTGGCGAGGATGTGGGGAAAAGGGTACACTTGTACATTGCTGGTGGGACTGCAGATTGGTGCAGCCAGTTTGGAAAGCAGTATGGAGATTTCTTGGAAAGCTGGGAATGG